AAATAAAAATACATTATAATTAAAATACCTTAAATCAAACAATTCTATACAAGAATAATTAAATGCTTATAATAATTACTCCTATGTTAACTTTAATGCATAACTTGTTAATATTTTTGCTGCTTGATATTTAAATAGACTCATTATTTTTAAAATAACATTGAATTGATTTTGCCAATATTTAAATAATTGTAAATCAATATTATGTTGTTCTAGTGCAGATTCAAAAACTTTTAAAAAATCCAAAAGTGAATTGGTTGCATTCATATAATTTTTCATAAGACTATTCATTAATTCTCTATGCTATATACTTGTCATATCTACTAAAAATATATCTCTATTAAAATAAAGTGCCTATTTTTCTTTTACTTTATCTATTCTTTCTAAATATGCTTTACAATCTAAAAAGTTTATTTGAAATTGTTGCTATTTGATTATAAAATTATTAACTTCATATTCTTTTATACATTCATAAAATACTTTTGAAAATTATGCTAATTTGCTTTTAATATACTACATAAATTTTTGATTACATTTTTCTAAAGATGCCATATACATAATACATATTTACTATTTTGACCAAAATCATTTTGTATAGCTTGAGAAATTGCTTTATCTTTATCTGTAAGTATTACTTTTGATAGATTATTATTAACCATTTTAAGAAATGATTTAAATGTTCATATAAAACTATTAATTATTTCTTAACACATTAAAGTTCTAGCAAAATATATACTTTGACCAAAATTGTTTACTCCTGTAAAAATTTCAAATGGCATATTAAATCGATTAACTTTGTATATATTATCAAAAACAATTACATTTAAAAATCTACAATATTGTTATTTCTATTCTGAATACATCCAAATTACTTGAAGTAATTTATTTGAACTTTCATTAACTTTGATTTCATATTTAAATCCATTAATTTCTCTTTTAGATTGCTTTAAAGTATTAATAAATTCATCTGTTTCAAAAAAACGACTATGTAATTTATTATCTAATTGATATATATAGTTATAAATATCATTATAAATCTATATTTCCAATTCTTGATATTCTTGTTTAAGAATAGATTTGATAGTTGGTACATTACAACCTGCTTGATGATAAATTTTAATTTGATCTTTAATTTCTTGTGGAATTATTCTTTGATTATTTAAAAATTTTTTATGCTTAAGAATCATTACTTTATGATTATATTCCAAATTTATAGCCAAAATATACCAAAGACCAGTTTGTAAATTAAATGATGCTCTAATTATAAAAGGACAATTACATCTTTAAGAATGACAATCTCTTTGATGATTTTTTCTTTTTTTATTCAGCAACACCTGCGCGTGAACATAATATAATTCTTTTTTTAATATTATTATTTTTATCATGTTCTACTTTATCTTTTTGTATTTGAAAATTATAAAAATTTGCAAAATTTTGAACTTGTACTATAAAATCATCATGATTTATAAATGTATTTGAAGCTGTTAGTTCGGGAACACACATCTCTTCAGATTTCATATGAAAATACAAGCAAGAGTTTATTGTTTATTATACAATATTAATTTTATTTACAAAGATAGTATAAATTATATAATATTACACAATTAATTTTCATCCAATAAAATTCGTTAAAACTTATTGTACACCTTCAGTGTAGGTTAAGGATGCCCTCCTAGAACAGGTTAAGAACATCCAGAAAAATTATTTGATCATGTGATCCAAAATTATTTATCACCTGTGTCACACCCTTCGCGTTTTCCATTTTCATAAGTATTCTAGGAACTTGAATTTTTACAATAGTGAAAATCATATTTGTCACACAATAACCATCACATCCTTAGAATTTAAGGCCAGGGTTTATGGATTATGCATAATGCGGGCCAGATATCACGTGATCGAAGAATTTTTCTGGGGGTTAGTTATCATTTTGTAGATCAGATATTATCGGCTGTCCCGTTACTTATGAAATTAACTGTAATTATAGCTAAATTTTAAAATTTACAAGTTTATTATGAAGTTTGATTATTATGACAGAGAAAACGCTGAATAGAAAAACATCGGTCAGTTAAGAGCAGAGAAAAAAATTTTAATCTTCATTTAGAAAAATCGATTTTTTTCCTAAATAATAACCAACGATAAAAAAATTCACGGATGATTTTCATCTAATTTGAGATTTACCGAGAATATCGTTGATACGGCGCAAGATTTATCTAAAGTTAACGAAAGTTTTATTTGGAGACGATTTGTGTAGTACATCAAGAAAGTATTTAAATTTAATATTAATTTTAACTTTTATATATTTTATTATTTATTTGTTTTAAAAATAAAATATTTTAGCATGTAAATGGATCGGTTCCATTTTAGGTTATCTGATGACGATCCGGTTTACGAGACGTAAATCTTATTAAAAAAAGTAAGTTTGGCCCCAGATTTAAAATTGATGCTTTTTTTGTGGTCTTCCGAAAAAAAAACAAAGTATGGGCAGGACATCAATGAAATTTCTTTCATCTAAGGTTAAAAATCTCCCCCGCGATTTCTTATATTTAATTATAAAAAATAATGATCGTAAAGTAACAAGATCCTTAAACAACGTGCGAAATCATTTATACTTACAAATTAATAAATTTTGAATTTAATATTAGGAATAACTCTAAATTATTCAGGTTTCTTTTTTGTTTAATAATTACATTTCCGCAATATTTTAGAAAAATAAAAATTTCATACTGTTCGACCTATTTCATATTTGAAAGTCCCGAATGATGCATAAATCGATTCTCATCCCAAAGAAGCGGTCAAAATATATCTCTAATAAATTAGAACTTGTGGTTTTTATTCAAACATCTTTTATTTTATTTGTTTCTCTAATGTATAAGATGATATTGAATCAAATGAGTTAAATTGCTTTAACATCATATGGTATGAGCGAATTTGGCGAAGTATTAAATTTATATTTTTAAAAAAATGTAATGATGTTTATTGACAAAACTTTTAGTAAATAACAAAAAAATGGAAAGAAATATAAAGAAAAAAAATTTTTACTAATGAAATGTTTTAATGTTCGTGAAAAAAATAAATATAATATGGAAAAAAAAATTTTTTTTTTTCGATGAATAAAATGCCGTGTCGTATAAAATGTAAAACTCCCCGATTTGAATTGACTCTACTAAGCATTCATGTTATTTTGATAATAAGCTATACAAATGTTCCTTACTTCACTGCCTAAACCGAGATAATCAACGTTGTTACAAACATCTTGATAATTTTCAGGAGTTATGGTATCATACCATTTGTCATCATCTCCGGTATACAAATATTCAAGAATCGATTCAAAAGTTTCGGGAGATGGTAGGGTGATCTTCACGAGATCACCATGTCTCACAGAGGTAAGATTGTCGTTAAAGAATTCGGATTGCGTGATAAGGAAATCTTTATGTACCCAAAATGGTCTATCAACACCCTCTACATGTAATTCGAATTCTGCGGTTGATGGATTGTTAAAATTTTCGGATCCATTTTTGCGTAATTTTTGAATGATGTATTTCATTGGCATTCCTTCAAAGGACGAGTTTTCTAATGAGGTAGAGCGGTTTAAGTACATTTTCGAATTTTTTTTTAAAAAAAAAGTTTTGATGATTGATGGATGTATTAGATAGATAGACGGAAATCAAGGAAAAATCAGATGAAAAAAATTTTTTGTTTTGGTTTTTAAAAATTCTTTGCTTTATTTGCCTTTTTATTTATGGATTTTATTGATTTTTTTCTTTTGTTCGAATGTTTGTTGGAATTTTTTTGTTGAAAACTTTCGCGTGTATTTATACCCACCGAAACTATAGCAAGTCGCTCATTTCTAATATTGGATGCCGAAATAACTGTTGCCATTATTACCATTTAAAAGTTCATTCATATCATATTAAAAGTATCGTCTCTTAGTAATTTCCAAACCTTTTTGATTAGGATTGTTTTTATTAGGCGAATAATATTTACTTAGACCTACATCAAGCTTTCCCCGTGATAAACAAATTTCGGCAATTCATTGGACAATCAAACTTGTTTCTGCGCCTTTCCATGATTGACAGTGATCTAAAAATATTCAAACAATAGAATCTTGGGAAGGTGGTACTATTGTTCAACTATGATCCAAACCGTTTCAAATCTTGAAACTTTTTGAAAAAAAAAAAAATTAAAACTACAAGGGTTGTACCAAAACCAACGTTTTAATAATTTTTTACTTTCTGGGTCAGTTTCATCTACAAACCGTAACCATTAAGGAACAGCTCGCATGCGGACGAATGTGAGATTTTATTTAAACACGCACGAGTTTCACAACATCTATTATTCGAATTTATTCGGGAAATCGACTTCTTTTTTAATTCCCTCTTATAACAACAAATTAATCATAATACGTTTCAAAAACCTTAACTAAAATAAAAGATTTTCAATCATGCATTTGGTTGTTATAAACAATAGTAAAAGGGAAGGGTGAAAATCTTCAAACTTTAAAAAAAATTTAAAAACTAACTTTATTTATAATTTATTTATTTGTTTTAATGACAATTATATTCAACATCGAACACAGAATTTTTTTTCAAATCGTATATATTCTATACATTGGACACGAATTTCGAGATATCGTAATTAAGTTTCTGTGTAACTTCCCATTGAGGGAAGTGTCCACATTCTTCGTAAATACTTTTGTTTTCACGTTTAGCGAGACCTGCGTAATATAAACCATAACTAAACGGTACCATACGATCTTGTGCGCCAATGATATTTAAGGTTGGAATGTTTAGGTCACTAAAGAAATTACTTAAATCAGCTGTTGAATCTAATTAATAAAAAGAAAAAGAGATTTTTTTGTTTTCCTTAATTAGTTCAAGTTCATATGATATGATATTAAGTATTGATTAAAATGAAGAACTTTACCAAAAAGACTAGTTTCGCGATATCCTTTAGAAGCGAGAACAGCGGTGCCGAGCATTAAAGATTTGAGTTCATCAGAAAGAGGTTTAGCGGAGATATTCTCATAAAATAAAGTAATCACAGAAACAATTGCTGTGAAATCATCACTATTCTTCAATGTAGTTGTAATATTCGCGAATTCTATTGTCGGCTCGAATATGAAATTAACGACTCCCACAACCGAAATAAATCCATGTATTTCAATATCAGGATAATTTTGCATAAATGTGAGAGAAACTGCTGACCCATAAGACCAGCCAACCAAGACGATCTTCTTGTTCGATTTATTCGATAGAACTTTAGATACTACGGCTGCAAGATCATCACTGTGTAATTTGAGAGAGTATTCGTTTGGTTTACCGCTTTTGCCAAGCCCTCGGCAATCCCACCTAACGAGATGAAATTTCTTGCTAAGATATGGATCAGTCCATTGTGGTTCCCAGCTATTACGCGTTCCCAAAAACCCACTTGTGAACACGATTGTAGTCATCTCAGGATTCCCTTTTTCTTCTACAAAGAGTTGAACTCCATTCCCACCGCTAACATAATAATTGCAAGTGTTAACTGGAAATGTGTATATGGGAACTTGGGCGATTACTGCGGCGAAGAAATAACTAAGTAACGTTAAGATTGTGATCAAATTCATTTTGTATGACTTTATTTTTCTTTCTTTTTTTATTTTTTATTTTTTTTTTTTATTTTTTTTTTTCTTTATCTTTTTTTACTAATTTCCATAGCATATTTATAATAAATGTTGAGAATTTAAAAACTGCGCGAAGAATTACAGAACATTTCAAAAAAACTTGTTTGTATACGCCAATCATTTGAAAATTATTATGTTAAAAAACTTCTTATTTTTTACCTGTCATTTGTTCATTGCGTTGTTAATAGAGACACATTATTACATGAACTTCTTATCCTTCCTTTTAGGGGTAGAATAAATCTCGCACAACGAATCATTTCATTATATTTTATTTATTATAAACCATGATTTTTTTTTTAAACATCGGGAAATCGACTTCTCTTTAATTCCCTCTTATAACAACAAATTAATCATAATACGTTTCAAAAACCTTAACTAAAATAAAAGATTTTCAATCATGCATTTGGTTGTTATAAACAATAGTAAAAGGGAAGGGTGAAAATCTTCAAACTTTAAAAAAAATTTAAAAACTAACTTTATTTATAATTTATTTATTTGTTTTAATGACAATTATATTCAACATCGAACACAGAATTTTTTTTCAAATCGTATATATTCTATACATTGGACACGAATTTCGAGATATCGTAATTAAATTCCTTTGAAACTTCCCATGGAGGGATGTGTCCACATTCTTCGTAAATAATTTTGTTTTCACGTTTAGCGAGACCTGCGTAATATAAACCATAATTAAGCGGTACCATACGATCTTGTGCGCCAATGATATTTAAGGTTGGAATGTTTAGGTTACTAAAGAAATTACTTAAATCAACTGTTGGATCTAATTGATAGTTTTCCTTATATTAGTTCAAGTTAATATGATATTAAACATTATCTGACATATGATTAAAATGTAGAACTTTACCAAAAATACTAGTTTTGCGATATCCGTTAGAAACGAGAACAGCGGAGCCGAGCATTAAATATTTGAGTTCATCAGAAAGAGGTTTAGCGGAAATATTCTCATAAATTGTAGTAAACGCGGAAACAATTGTTGTGAAATCATCACTATTCATCAATGTAGTTGTAATATTCGCGAATTCTTTTGACGGCTCGAATTTGAAATCAACGATTCCCACAACCGAAATAAATCCATGTACTTCAATATCAGGATAATTTTGCATAAATTTGAGAGAAATTAGTGACCCATAAGACCAGCCAACCAAGACGATCTTCTTGTTCGGTTTATTCGATTTAACTTTAGCTACTATTGCTGCAAGGTCATCACTGTGTAATTTGAGAGAGTATTCGTTTGGTTTACCGCTTTTGCCAAGCCCTCGGCAATCCCACCTAACGAGATGAAATTTCTTGCTAAGATATGAATCAGTCCATTGTGGTTCCCAGCTATTATGCGTTCCTAAATACCCATTTGTGAATACGATTGTAGTCATCTCAGGATTCCCTTTTTCTTCTACATAAAGTTGAACTCCATTCCCACCGCTAACATAATAATTGTAAGTATTAACTGGAAAAGTGTATATAGGAACTTGGGCGATTACTGCGGCGAAGAAATAACTAAGTAACGTTAAGAATGTGATCAAATTCATTTTGTATGACTTTATTTTTCTTTCTTCTTTTTATTTTTTATTTTTTTTTATTTTTTTCTTCCATCTTTTTTTACTAATTTCCATAGCATATTTATAATAATTGTTGAGAATTCAAAAACTGCGCGAAGAATTACAGAACATTCCAAAAAAACTTGTTTGTATACGCCCAATCATTTGAAAATTATTATTATATTTAAACAAACTTACCTGTCATTGTATCATTGTGTTGCTAATAGAGACAAACATTATTATCCTTCCCTTTTAGGGATAGATTAAATCTCGCATATTTTAGGACAACGAATCATTTCATTATTTGATGTAAAACTCGGTGTTTAAAAAAAAAAATTCACATATACGCACTGTTGATTATGGTTGGTTTGATTTTTCAATATAAAAAAAATAAAACAAATTAAATTAAAATCTTTTCAAATCATGCATTTGGTTGTCACAAACAATAGTAAAAGGGCAGGGTAAAAATCTTCACTTTAAGAAAATTTAAAAATTACTAATTTATTTATTTGTTTTAATGACATTTATATTCAAAAACAAACACAAAATTTTTTTTTCAAATCGTATATATTCTATACATTGGACACGAATTTCGAGATGTCGTAATTAAATTCCTTTGTAACTTCCCATTGAGGGAGGTGTCCACATTCTTCGTAAATAATTTTGTTTTCACGTTTAGCGAGACCTGCGTAATATAAACTATAATTAAGCGGTACCATACGATCTTGTGCGCCAATGATATTTAAGGTTGGAATGTTTAGGTTACTAAAGAAATTAC